GCGATTGGTCAAATAGCCTAGGCAACAAACCTCTCATTAATATTCATTTTGAAGTGTTGCTGGTTATGTCATTCAGCTGGCTGCAGCTTTGTTTTGATTTCTACGATCGATAGCGACAAATAAACAGTGCCAAAAATGCTCCCATTTTGTAATAAATTGCACTATTTTGGAAACGGGGGATCGTTTTCTGGCTAAGGGGGTTCGTTGGCAAAAGGGGGGTTCGCTGAAAAAGGGGGGTTCGCCCGAACCCCTAAAAACCCCCCTGGCTACGGGCCTGACTATGGATTTAGGCTGTGATACAGCGAGAAGGCCTGTGGGGAAAAAACATTTTGTAGCGCCTTCTCGATGGGGCTTGGGAACTACCGGGAAATTTCTCTATGGATTATACAGCACAAATACAAATAATTGGTGTCATGTTTATATCCGGATATGTTTCCTGAGTGTTTTTGTTCTTATTCAATCAACACCCTAAATATATCGGGGATTTCCCTTATTTACTCACAGTTGAACTAGTTTATTGCGAGTGTTCCAGAAGGGACTCATGAAAGCAAATCCCTCCCAAACCGGCCCAAATTATAGAGATGCTATTTATTGTTGACGACAGAAACAAAAACAAAGTGAGTAAGGGCCTGAACGCCCCACCATGGTTGGTGGAAAACTTTTTTTTTGAACCTGGATGCCCGGAAATATATACTTTCAAACTTAACTATAGACTATAGAACCGCTACTTCCGCACCCCCTCAAAAGCCTGCAACAATATTTAGCATGTGGATAGACACTATACCCACCTACCTCAGCCCCACCTTGGTTAAGCAAATTTTGAAAATATGGCACCTCTGCCCGGATATATCAGTTTGTACTAAATGTATAGCACCGGTGGTTCACTGGTAGAATTCTCGCCTGCCACCAGTGGCGTCGAGGTGGGGGAGGGTCAGGGGGTCGCTGCCGGACCAAGATGAACAATTTTCGGGGTAAGAACGAAATCTCCATAGGGCCCGAGTCCAAGCCAGGATGAAAACCTTTGTCAGATTCAAGAGGAGACTTAATTTGGGGAGCAGCCAAGTGGGGGTCCCAAGTCAAGGTGGGGGATCCATGTGAGGTGTTGCCCCGGGGTCCTTACTGGCTCTCGACGCAACTGCCTGCCACGTGGAGGACCCGGGTTCACTTTTTACTTAGTTTTACACAAACTGTCGTGTCTTGGTGTATTTTTCGAGAACATTAACAACAATTACAAGAGAAACATTGCATTTGAGTTTATAGTGAATGTACAGCATCGGTGGTTCAGTGGTAAAATTCCCGCCTGCCACGCGGGGGACCCGGGCACAATTCCCGGCCGATGCACATTTTTGTAAACAAATTATCTTGTCTGTTGATGTTTTCTTCGAGATCATGTCAACAATTGCAAGAAAAACATTACATTTGAGGTTATTGTACAGCATCGGTGGTTCAGTGGTAGAATTCTCGCCTGCCACGCGGGGGAACCCGGGTTCAATTCCCGGCCGATGCACATTTTGTTTTACACAAAGTATATTCTGTGTGTTTTCTAGAACAAGACAAAAATTACAAGAGAAACATTACATTTGAGTTTATAATATCTGTATGCCTACAGCATTGGTGGTTCAGGGGTAGAATTCTCGCCTGACAGGCAGGGGACTCGAGTTGAATTTCCGACTGATGCATATTTTGTTTTTCATTACACAAAGTATCTTCTGTGTGGTTGTTGTTTTCGAGAACAAGACAAAAATTACAAGAGAAACATTACGTTTGAGGTTACAAATTCCGTACAGCATCGGTGGTTCAGTGGTAGAATTCTCGCCTGCCACGCGGGGGACCCGGGTTCAATTCCCGGCCGATGCATACTCAATTTTACACAAACTGTCGTGTTTGTTGATGTTCTTTTCGAGAACATTAACAACAATTACAAGAGGCACATTGCATTTTTTTGTGAATATACAGCATCGGTGGTTCAGTGGTAGAATTCTTGCCTCCCACGCGGGGGACCCGGGTTCAATTCCCGGCCGATGCATACCTAGGTTTTTACAGAAAGTGTCCTGTGTGTTAATGTTCTTTTTCCCCCGAGAACAATAACAACAATTTACAAGAGGAACATTGCATTTGAGTTTGCTGTGTAGTGAATGTACAGCATCGGTGGTTCAGTGGTAGAATTTTCGCCTGCCACGCGGGGGACCCGGGTTCATTTCCCGGCCGATGCATATTTTGTTTTACACAAAGTATATTCTGTGTGGATGTTCTTTTCTAGAACAAGACAAAGATTACAAGAGAAACATTACATTTGAGTTTATAATATGTGTATGCCTACAGCATTGGCGGTTCAGGGGTAGAATTCTCGCCTGACAGGCAGGGGACTCGAGTTGAATTTCCGACTGATGCATATTTTGTTTTACATTACACAAAGTATCTTCTGTGTGGATGTTGTTTTCGAGAATAAGACAAAAATTACAAGAGAAACATTACGTTTGAGGTTATAATATACCGCATACTCAATTATAATATATACTCAATTATAATATATACTCAATTTTACACAAACTGTCTTGTTTGTTGATGTTCTTTTCGAGAACATTAACAACAATTAGTACAAGTACAAGAGAAACATTGCATTTGAGTTTTTAGTGAATGTACAGCATCGGTGATTCAGTGGTAGAATTCTCGCCTGCCACGCGGGGGACCCGGGTTCAATTCCCGGCCGATGCATACCGTACTTAATTTTACACAAACTGTCGTGTTTGTTGATGTTCTCTTCGCGAACATTAACAACAATTACAAGAGAAACATTGCATTTTGAGTTTTTAGTGAATGTACAGCATCGGTGGTTCAGTGGTAGAATTCTCCCCTGCCACGCGGGGACCCGGGTACAGTTCCCGGCCGATGCATACTTAGTTTTACACAAACTGTCGTGTTTGTTGATGTTCTTTTCTAGAATTTTACACAAAATAATATCTGTATGCCTACAGCATTGGTGGCTCAGGGGTAGAATTCTCGCCTGCTACGCAGGGGACTCGAGTTCAATTCCCGACTGATGCATGTTTTGTTTAACATTACACAAAGTATCTTCTGTGTGGATGTTGTTTTCGAGAACAAGACAAAAATTACAAGAGAAACATTACGTTTGAGGTTATAATATACCGCATACTCAATTATAATATATACTCAATTATAATATATACTCAATTTTACACAAACTGTCTTGTTTGTTGATGTTCTTTTCGAGAACATTAACAACAATTAAAAGAGAAACATTGCATTTGAGTTTATAGTGAATGTACAGCATCGGTGGTTCAGTGGTAGAATTCTCGCCTGCCACGCGAGAACAAGACAAAAATTACAAGAGAAACATTACATTTGAGTTTATAATATCTGTATGCCTACAGCATCGGTGGTTCAGTGGTAGAATTCTCGCCTGCCACGCGGGGGACCCGGGTTCAATTCCCGGCCGATGCATACTTAGTTTTTACACAAAGTGTCCTGTCTGCTAATGTTCTTCTTCCCCCGAGAACAATAACAACAATTTACAAGAGGAACATTGCATTTGAGTTTGCTGTATAGTGAATGTACAGCATCGGTGGTTCAGTGGTAGAATTCTCGGCTTCCACGCGGGGGACCCGGGTTCAATTTCAAACCGATGCATATTTTTGTTTTACACAAAGTATATTCTGTGTGTTTTCTAGAACAAGACAAAAATTACAAGAGAAACATTACATTTGAGTTTATAATATCTGTATGCCTACAGCATTGGTGGTTCAGGGGTAGAATTCTCGCCTGACAGGCAGGGGACCCGAGTTGAATTTCCGACTGATGCATATTTTGTTTTTCATTACACAAAGTATCTTCTGTGTGGTTGTTGTTTTCGAGAACAAGACAAAAATTACAAGAAAAACATTACGTTTGAGGTTACAAATTCCGTACAGCATCGGTGGTTCAGTGGTAGAATTCTCGCCTGCCACGCGGGGGACCCTGGTTCAATTCCCGGCCGATGCACATTTTTTTACAGAAACTATCTTTTCTGTTGATGTTTTGTTCGAAATCATGCCAACAATTACAAGAAAAACATTGCATTTGAGTTTATTGTATATACACAGCATCGGTGGTTCAGTAGTAGAATTCTCGCCCGCCACACGGGGAACTCGGGCGCAATTCCCGGCCGATGCACATTTTTTTTAAACAAACTATCTTGTCTGTTGATGTTTTCTTCGAGATCATGTCAACAATTACAAGAAAAACATTACATTTGAGTTTATTGTGGATACAGCATCGGTGGTTCAGTAGTAGAATTCTCGCCTGCCACGCGGGGGTCCCGGGTTCAGTTCCCGGCCGAAGCATACTTAATTTTACACAAACTGTCGTGTTTGTTGATGTTCTTTTCGAGAACATTAACAACAATTACAAGAGAAACATTGCATTTGATTTTTCAGTGAATGTACAGCATCGGTGGTTCAGTGGTAGAATTCTCGTCTGCCACGCGGGGGACCCGGGTTCAATTCCCGGCTGATGCATGCTTAATTTTACACAAACTGTCGTGTTTGTTGATGTTTTCTTCGAGAACATTAACAACAAGTACAAGAGAAACATTGCATTTGAGTTTTTAGTGAATGTACAGCATCGGTGGTTCAGTGGTAGAATTCTCGCCTGCCACGCGGGGGACCCGGGTTCAATTCCCGGCCGATGCATATTTTGTTTTACACAAAGTATCTTCTGTGTGGATGTTCTTTTCGAGAACAAGACAAAAATTACAAGAGAAACATTATGTTAGAGGTTATAATTTCCGTACAGCATCGGTGGTTCAGTGGTAGAATTCTCGCCTGCCACGCGGGGGACCCGGGTTCAATTCCCGGCCGATGCATACTTAATTTTACACAAACTGTCGTGTTTGTTGATGTTCTCTTCGCGAACATTAACAACAATTACAAGAGAAACATTGCATTTTGAGTTTTTAGTGAATGTACAGCATCGGTGGTTCAGTGGTAGAATTCTCGCCTGCCACGCGGGGGACCCGGGTTCAATTTCCGGCCGATGCATACTTTGTTTTACACAAAGTGTCCTGTCTGTTAATGTTCTCTTTCCTGAGAACAATAACAACAATTTACAAGACAAACCATGCATTTTTTTACAGAAACTATCTTTTCCGTTGATGTTTTGTTCGAAATCATGCCAACAATTACAAGAAAAACATTGCATTTGAGTTTATTGTATATACACAGCATCGGTGGTTCAGTAGTAGGATTCTCGCCCGCCACACGGGGGACCCGGGCGCAATTCCCGGCCGATGCACATTTTTTAAAAACAAACTATCTTGTCTGTTGATGTTTTCTTCGAGATCATGTCAACAATTACAAGAAAAACATTACATTCGAGTTTATTGTGGATACAGCATCGGTGGTTCAGTAGTAGAATTCTCGCCTGCCACGCGGGGGACCCGGGTTCAGTTCCCGGCCGATGCATACTTAGTTTTACACAAACTGTCGTGTTTGTTGATGTTCTTTTCGAGAACATTAACAACAATTACAAGAGAAACATTGCATTTGATTTTATAGTGAATGTACAGCATCGGTGGTTCAGTGGTAGAATTCTCGCCTGCTACGCGGGGCACCCGGGTTCAATTCCCGGCCGATGCATACTCAATTTTACACAATAATATCTGTATGCCTACAGCATTGGTGGCTAAGGGGTAGAATTCTCGCCTGCTACGCAGGGGACTCGAGTTCAATTCCCGACTGATGAATATTTTGTTTTACATTACACAAAGTATCTTCTGTGTGGATGTTGTTTTCGAGAATAAGACAAAAATTACAAGAGAAACATTACGTTTGAGGTTATAATATACCGCATACTCAATTATAATATATACTCAATTATAATATATACTCAATTTTACACAAACTGTCTTGTTTGTTGATGTTCTTTTCGAGAACATTAACAACAATTAAAAGAGAAACATTGCATTTGAGTTTATAGTGAATGTACAGCATCGGTGGTTCAGTGGTAGAATTCTCGCCTGCCACGCGGGGGACCCGGGTTCAATTCCCGGCTGATGCATACTCAATTTTACACAAACTGTTGATGTTCTCTTCGAGAACATTAACAACAATTACAAGAGAAACATTGCATTTGAGTTTTCAGTGAATGTACATCATCGGTGGTTCAGTCGTACAATTCTCACCTGCCACGCGGGGGACTCGGGTTCAATTCCCGGTCGATGCATATTTCGTTTTACACAGAGTATCTTCTGTGTGAATGTTCTTTTCGAGAACAAGACAAAAATTACAAGACAAACATTACGTTTGAGGTTATAATTTCCGTACAGCATCGGTGGTTCAGTGATAGAATTTTTGCCTGCCACGCTGGGGACCCAGGTTCAATTCCAGGCCGATGCACATTTTTTTTACAGAAAATATCTTTCTGTTGATGTTTTGTTCGAAATCATGTCAACAATTACAAGAAAAACATTACATTTGAGGTTATTGTATATATACAGCATCGGTGGTTCTGGTTCTGGTTCTCAAAACCTCAAAGCTTTCTCTTCTTTAGCTTTTGTCTGGATTATTCTTCTCTTAGCGCATTTGATAATTCTTAAATTAGTGCGGTAAAAAATCTGATTTATTATTAAACTGCGAAAAGATATTCTACAAGACTAGGTATATTGAACTAAAATTACGTTTACGTAATAGTAGTCCGAGGGTGAGACATTTTTTTTGGGAGACGTGCATGTCAGTAAAGTACTCTACTGTATATGTCGCGGTTTTGAGTTAAAGTCGAGATTTACAATGTTTTGATTTGCTTAGTTGTGTTTTCTTAACTTCGAAAAGATGTCAAGGCTCTGTATGTAGTAGAGTTCTGGGGTAGGAAGAACCCGTTTGGACTCCGTGGGAATAGACATTTTCCATGAGAACACACAGTGAAAGGCTTGTATTACGTAGTGCCGGGTAGTGGAAGCTCAACACCCCTGTGTGTCCCCTTCCGCCAGGGACCCAAGAGGTCACGGGCGTTACTGGGAGCTTGACTGGATGCCTGCATTTTTCCAAACTAGTTAAAATGTCAGTTTTTCTATCTAGATCATCGAGTTCATACTTATCAACATCGCTATGGATAACTTCCGTTAAGATATAGAATCAACAATAACCAGAAATTGAATTTGCATATGCATGAATCCGGGTCACCTCACGTGGCAGGCGGTAATCCTTTCACTGAACCACCAATGTGAATGAAGTCTTCAAGTTTGTGCCAACCAATAATATGAAGAGAATAGACCTAACGACATCCTAAGAATGTTGGCATTGTAGCTACTCTGCTGTGGTTGGATATTATTTACTTTTTTATTACTTGGTGGTGTGAGCATGGCTTCCGGGATCTATATAAATGCAGGTCTCGGACGAATGCATTTGAACATTTTGCAAAATGGATTCAAGATCAGTCTTGCTGTAAGTTGAGACCTTAGATTTTTTCAGGATTTTGATTATCTTGAGGATATTTCCCGTACGATTAAAATCGTAACGGTACTGGGTTTGGTCTACAGGAGCTCGTGTTTCGTACAGGCCTTTCCATTCATAGAAAAAGCCTTTAATGGTGAAAGCGTACCTGTCATTAGCCATAGTAGCCTAGGTCAATACATAACACCGGCTGTATAAAATTTATTATAAGATTGAAAATGTTAATCTTATTATTGCAGTAGTGATACACTATGTACACGGTTTAGTTATTGTTATTTATTCGTTAACGTTATCATATTAATATATAAATTTAATGTATTGTTTAAGTATTAATTACTACGTCCATGTTATCTATTAAAATTGTATATTTAAATAATATAGTAATAGGCACTGATAGCCGAGGTCTAGCCTAGACCAGTCCTAAACAAATGAATATGTGAGTGTATAAAACTATGAAAAATATGAAGAAAAAAACGCAAAATTGTGAAAGAATAAAGGAAGAAGGAAGAATTAAGGTTTTAATTACAATAATAATGATGATATTGAGTATGAGGATGACGATGATGATAAGAATGATGATTTCTATGATGAATTTGAAAGTTTTCCAAAACGTCGACATTGTACAAATGAGCCGGTAAGAATATTTTGATAATAAATTTTGACATAGCATATATGCACAAATCCCGGTTAATTTTCTTCTCAAAAATGTAAATAACTTATCTCCATTATTTTATTAAGGCTTTTTCTGTTGATAACAAGCTCGACAGCAGCTGACCTGTTGCTCTGGGCGGAGGAAGTCGACACAGATAACCCATCTCAACCAGAGGCTAAAATCCAAACATTACCTGCAGACCCAACAACATACGCGCCGGGCTTAATCGCCACCGGAGAAATACAGACTGCATTCAAGTACAATGTAGTTCCGGGAAAGTTCGTCGCATTGGACACCGACCACCAAGACCAGGTGATATTTTTTAGCGCCTCCCTACGTACGGCAGTTTACAAAGGAACAGTCAATGCAGAAAGTAACAGCGCCAATAGGGTGTTTGGGGGATCATCTAATAGAGTGGAGGGAATTGCTGTAGATTGGCTTGCCAAAACACTGTATATCATCGATCAGACCTACAATTGGATTTTCCTTATTAATCATAGAGAACCAAATCGCTATGTTATTTTGGTGAGAGATGGGTTGGATAAACCACGTGGTATAGCTGTTCATCCAGCAAAAGGGTAAGCATACTCGTATTTAATTTCTATTTTGTCACATGACGTGTGTTAATTCGCTACTTTAGCCTAACCAATTATCCATATATTCACTTGGGCTATCTTTAAGTAGGAATTATTTATAATTACTATCTGAGCTAACCGGGCTTCTTACTACTAAATATTTACATTTTATAACGAATCCAGTAAAATGAACTTGTGAAATACAAAAGTAATATGCAGCTTATCTCAGTCGGCAATTTTGCTTACGAAAATTATTGGACGCCAAGGGCTTGAACCCTTAACCCTCAAATTAAAAGTCAGATGCTCTACAACTAACCGGGCTTCTTATGAAATATTTACATTTTATAACGAATCCAGTGAATTAATTCACTTATCGTCAAATACAATAGCAAAATTACATTTATACTTATTATGAAATATCTACTTTTTATAACGAATCTAGTAAAATTCACTTATCGTCAAATACAATAGCAAAATTACATTTATACAAAACGATTGGACGCCCAATAAGGGACTTGAACCCTTGACCCTCAGATTAAAAGTCTGATGCTCTACCGACTGAGCTAACCGGGCTTCTTATTATGAAATATTTACATTTTATAACGAATCCAGTAAAATTCATTTATCGTCAAATACAATAGCAAAATTACATTGATACAGTAAAATACAAAACGATTGGACGCCCAATAAGGGACTTGAACCCTTGACCCTCAGATTAAAAGTCTGATGCTCTACCGACTGAGCTAACCGGGCTTCTTATTATGAAATATCTACTTTTTATAACGAATCTAGTAAAATTCACTTATCGTCAAATACAATAGCAAAATTACATTGATACAGTAAAATACAAAACGATTGGACGCCCAATAAGGGACTTGAACCCTTGACCCTCAGATTAAAAGTCTGATGCTCTACCGACTGAGCTAACCGGGCTTCTTATTATGAAATATTTACTATTTATAACGAATCTAGTAAAATTCACTTACCGTCAAATACAATAGCAAAATTACACTGATACCGTAAAATACAAAACGATTGGACGCCCAATAAGGAACTTGAACTCTTGACCCTCAGATTAAAATCTGATGCTCTACCGACTGAGCTAACCGGGCTTCCTATTTTGAATTATTTACTTTTTATAACGAATCTAGTAGAATTCACTTATCGTCAAATAAAATAGCAAAATTACATTGATACCGTGAAATACAAAACGATTGGACGCCCAATAAG